CCGGTATCCTTTCCTGCTGCAGTGTGCCCCAGACAGCAGAGTATATACACAACACTGGCGTTGAGTGAGAGATTTCACCTAGTAAACCTACACAGGTTCAGGCTGTGGCCAAAACAACCCCTTTCTGTCCATCCAAAAGGATGCCTTGGGTTCAAAAGGCGTGTCAGCACACCCAGGAAGGTGGAAATTTAGCCCTGAGAGGACTGTCAAGGGTCTAGCCCTGCACTGCATATGCACGCATGCACCACGCAGATTTTTTAAAGTAGTTTTTGGTCTCCTAAGCTATGTTATTACCTGCTGTGTGTACACCTTTACAGCCTGGGCTGCTTCCAATTAGACCAAGAGTTGCCAAGGTATCACATTCCTTAGCAGCCTGCATTGCAGACCCGAGAACAGATAGGATATCCAGCAAATAAGCTTGATGTAGATGGAATGGAGAAAATGGCTTGAAGCCACGTCTCCATTTCCCTGATTCTAGGTCTTCCTGGACCAAAATGGCCTCTGGCATAATTTAGAGCATTCTAAATTGTGCTAGCTGGAATGGTCCGATAGAGGTCACATACCTGACTGAGGATTAGACAGAACACACTACACTCTCCTCTCCTCTTGCCCCCAATACATCTTGACCCCTTCCTTATGATTCAGCTCTCAGACTAAGAGTTGGATTAAAGAATCCATCCAACCATCTTTATTATGGAAGCCCACAAAGCCATAAAAATGTATTTGGTGCTTGCAAATCTCCCATTTCTGGACCTTCTACCCTAGTTACCTTTTGCCCAAGGAAGGTTCAGGAAATTATTTTTCAAAAGTTAATTCTTCGGGGGCAAACTTAAAAAATACTCTGCAAAATTGTGTGGCTGCAATTAGAAGGAAAGGTAAGAGTTAACTGAACGATAAGTGTTCTGAAAAGGGTTGGAGTTCTGAATACATTACGCTATTTACTGAGTTCAGCAAGAATTTCTTGGCCCCAACTGCTAACCTGTCAGACTTCAATCAGTTGCAAGATGAGCAGCCTAGATAATAATGTACAAGTCTTGTCTCATAAACCAGGAGTCTGTTTAAAGCCAGCAGTGTTTTGATTCTTTTTCACTCTTCCGCTGCCAATTTTCATAGCTTTGAAAGTGTAACATAGCAAGTATGCAAGCTTCAAGGAGCGGAAGGAAAACATGAGATTAGTTTATGGCTGCTATGCAAGCCTCTAATAATCAAAGAGGATCAAATAGCTGTTCTGTTCTATCAAGTTCTTTACATTGTGCTTGCAGCTTTGGTATCTGTGTGTCTAGATTTATCTAATCTACTGGCATCAATAATCTTTCAGAGGTTAAGAAACAGGTGCTGAGACTGGAGGGTAATCTTTATAATTAAGTTGTTGCTTTGAGTGGAAGAAACATTAATTTCCAAAATCCGCAAATGAGGGAAGGTTGCTTTCTAGAACAATTTCATTTACAGTGCTATTTTAAAGTGCGTGTGTGGATATAATATAAATGTAAATCGACACTACAGTTTGTTTATATACACACACATCTATAAATAAATGGAATGATACGATACCTCTAAAATGTAACTTTTTTTTTACTAAGTAGCACGTTTGCCCAGCGTTGCTTGGGTCCTTAAGGAGAGGTTCTTGGCAGGGGACTCTGTATGTGCCTGTGTAGGGGACGAATAGGAGGGGGGAACTGAAGCCCCTGCTCACCCAAGACTCATACTAGGGCTATTTGCTCTTCCCCTTCCTATCCCTATCAGGAAGCGATCACAAAGTGCACAGTTCGTCTGTCCCCTGCACTCCCCAGCCAGAGTGAGGAATGCAGCAAACTGTGCACTTTCCCCTCACTCCCTGATGAAGAGGAACAGCCACCAGTGTCCCTGTATGAATCAGCAGGGGAGGGGAGGCTGAAGGCCCCCCCTCTCCAAAGGGCAGTCGGGGAGTGAGAAGCTGGGGCAATCCCAGCCAGCCCCCTTTCTCCTTTCTGGGGATTCTGTCTCTTTTCTGTTTGGTTGTATGAGAAGCAATCCCATTCCAGGCACATCCTATTGTCCTGGGACAACCAGTCCCTAGCCTTGCTTTAAATTATAGGGGGAAGCTTCATAGCGAAGTTGATGGTCCTAGCTCTTTCTGTTTAAGAAGAGTTCTTGACCAAACAGACAAACTCTCTCAAATATATAGTAGATAATTTTAGATGCATATAATGATTTCAATAACCATCTGATTGTTCACTTATTATCCTCTCTGATCCCTGCTTGCCCTTCAGTCAACTAGAACAAGAAAAATCTGCTAGCAAGTTCCATTCTTTTTCTAGTCAAAGCTTAACCATTTAAGCACTGGCTCTTGTGTCCCTTACACAATGCTCCAATACTCCAAGGCTATGTTTAAACCCATATGAAAGCTCATTTCATTGAAAGTTAATAGAAAGATTCCTAGTCATCCTGGTTGTTTTTATAGAAGACACATTTTGGACATAAACTTTTGTGACATATCAGGAGATTTTTAATATATATGGTCTTCTGATATGCACTCAGGGGGAAATAAATTGGACACTTTTGCTCATGTTGGCGAATACTCACTCTGATTGCAGAGTGATGACTTTGTTAGAATTGGGCCATCTGGTCTGATTGTCTATGCAAAGCTACTACTATTACTATCGTTTTTCCTTCCATTTCATTTGTAAACTGCTGCTGCGCAGCACTGCTTCCTCCTCCTCTTCCCCTCCCCCTTTTAATTTCCTGGCAAGGGAGTGACAGAAAAAATGTCTCGATGTTTAGACTCCAGAGGACTTTGATTGTTTAGCAATCAGATCCAAACAATTTTCAGGTAGTAAAATTTCAGCATTTCCTGTTTACATGGCATTAATGTTATATAATAGCCATTTTGATGTAATTAGAGATGCCTTTGTAGACTGAAATGCAGAATATCCACAGTTTTAGCTACCTTGTAACTCCTCAGCTAAAACTAAATGTTTTTCTTTAAACTCACATCTGTTAAAAGGCTACTGCATCTTGCAGTTGCAGTGGGCTGATGTTGAATCGCAGTGGGTCTCTTGTTTAATTATGGTGTTGTTTTCATTTCCTTTCATGGTGTTTGATTCTTTCCAGCTTTAAAAGATTCCAGTAAGAGATCCATTAACAGCGACTGGAAAATTGAGCTTCCTGGTGAGTTTCAGATCGCAGGAACTACTGTCCGGTACGTGCGAAGGGGTCTATGGGAGAAAATGTCTGCCAAAGGACCAACTAAAATACCACTGCACTTGATGGTAACTTTATATCCTTTGTTTGTGTTTCTTAAGTGATGCAACATAAAGGGTTTATATCCCAGCTCAAAGTTCAACTTAAACTATTTGCTTCCTCCCCAGGGTTTTAAGGAAAATCTATTGTCTCTCCCCCTGATTTCTTTTGCAGGATTACAAGGGTCAACACTTACATCTCATTTAAGATCTATTTTGTGTCCGCTTTCAGTCTCCACAGAAGCATCACACTGTGATGTACGTTATATAATGAGACATAAAGACACTGGTATGGACTCAGTTTTCCAGGGGCCTGTTTTGTGCACATAACCATTTGCACATGTAAAAGGACCTTGGCCCAACTTCTTAGTTGACTCACAACAGCGCATATTTCTCTGTTTACATCACCTTTTGATCACACAGATAATAAAAGATGCACATTTCATGTATTTACAAAACACACGATCTGTGCAAATTTGGCACGTTGTATTGATTTTAGTTGCACACACAAAAATCATCTTAAATTATATATGGAATAGTTTGATAACTGTTACATTTCTTTGCTATGGGTCAACACAGTCTTTCCATTTACACAGGATGTTATTTTATAAACATTGAAGCAGTGTGAGTCAAAAGACCTCTGAGGACAGGAAATTAAGAATCTTTTCCCAGCTCTGTCACTGACTCTATGTGTAACTTTGGGCATGTCACTTAATCTCTCAGTGACTTAATTTTTACATCAGTAAAATGGGGATAATCAACACACGAGTGTAACTATGTAAATATTTGCAAAGGACTTTGCAATTTTGAGATGGAAGACTCTGGGAGCACAGCATATTGTGAAGTATGTATTGCTACCTCTCACTTCTATTGTCTGTCCACTGTAATTTTTCTAGGCACTATTTCATTTCTCTCACATGCTTGCCAGTCATTTCTTCACCACTGCTAAAAGTCAAATCGCTTCCTGCTTTTCCTCACCTTATCTTTTAGAACAGGTCCATCCTTAGGATTTATGGGACTGTCTGCAGTACTATTAAACTGGTGCCCCCGTGGTTGATGGCAGCCTGTGGGGCAAATGGTGAATTTTTAGAGATGTGACTTTATAATCTTCAGCAACACACTAACACATATTTTAAAACAAATTTTAAACATAGGTTCTGCAGACTAGCACAGTAAATTCAGAAGCTGAGAGTCTATAGCTGGCATTGGCACATGCCTGTTAAATGGTTTCATTACCACTTGAATAGCTCTTTCACGGGTTCCATGTTCTGCTAATAGCTCTGGCAGGTTCTGTCACTTGTAAGTTAACTAGATCCTCTTCTGAGGAAACAGAGCCACAGACCAGGGATAGGAAGAGGTGGGTGTGTGGACATTAAGATCCAGAGGCGCCCCGGATTTCCAGGTGCCCTACACATTTTCTGCATATAGGTGAGGACAGCCCTGTTTAGGACCTCCTGTTAAATCTTCTTTGAACTGCTCTAGTTTCCATTTTCACAGTTCGTAGAGCTCAGAACTACCATGAGCTTTTCACAAAAAAATTTATAAGAATAATAATTCTTCCCTCTTTTCAGCGCTTTCCACATGGTGCTCTCAAAATGCTTAACAAAGGAAGGGATGTGCTATTATCCTCTTTTTAGGGAAGAGGTGTGGAGTGACTTGCATGAGTCACACAGAAGGCCAGTGGCAAAAGCTGGACTCAGAGATTATCCCTCATTATTCAAAAGGGCATATTTGGGGATTCCTGCAATTCCCTAATGCATTCTCTAAACTCATGGTTTGTGCGTGTAAGCTAAACATGCACAAAACACTTGGGTCTATATTTTCTACTGGTACTTTTTAAAAGTCAAATTTCCACTGCGACTTCTTCAACATTAAGAATTCCCGCTACACAATTTGACTTTGAGCCAAGCTCCTGGAACCAACCCTCTTACAAAGTAGCATGTATATTACTGAAGAACTGGCTGTCCTCAGAGCACCATATAAAATATGGATTTGTGTGAGCTCAGGTTAGTGAAAATGTTGATTCTTGACTCTTTTGTGGCTAAATCTGAATATTCCGAGATGGATTTTCCTTGGTTTAAACTCACTACAATAGATTCTGGTGCTATCATTTTCGAAAGTTGAGAGTTGGTATGTATCTTTTTAATGGGAACACCCCTCCTCCCCCAAATCCAATGAAAGAACAAAAATAAGGATCATATTATTAGGAAGCTTTTCCATAAGCCCTATTCATTATACAGTATAACCTCAGAGGTACAAATAATTCAGGAATGGAGGTTCAGAACATTGAACAAAATGTTACGATTGTTTCAAAAGTTTACAACTGAACAGTGACTTCATACAGCTTTGAAATTTTACTGAGCAGAAGAAAAACGCTGCTTTTAACCATCTTAGTCAAAATAAAACAAGCACGGTTTCTTTGTCAAATCTTTTTTTTTTAACTTTCCCTTTTTTTTAGTACATTCAAACCCAGTAGGATACTATTTTTGCTGCTGTTGTGGTTTCTGCTGCTGCCTGATTGTGTACATCTTCTCTGAGTGCCTGCTCGTGTCCATTCCATGGAGCTGTGGGCGTACTGCATGCATGGTCTTTGGAAGGTTTTTCCCCTTGCAGTACACATCAGGTCAGCTGTGGAGGCCCTGGAATCGCACCTTAATGGTAGTGTATGTAGGTCCCTCTTCAGTTCCTTCTTATTGCCAGCGATGGTCATTGGAGCAGCTCTTTTCTCTTGTTACAGCGATCCCCTAGTAGACTTTCACTTTGTGTAGCTGTAAATAGTTAAAAACTTGGTATTTGTAAGCTTTCAGTAGTTCATGGTTAAGATAAGTTTTAGTTGGGAGTTCTCCTCCTTCCCCCCCGCACCATTTATTTCCTCCCAGGGAGCAGGGCATGTCTCAGTCTTAGGGATTCAGATGGTGCGTGTTCTGTCCGAAGGCTGCGATAAAGGGAGACATGACACCTGCTTAAAGTGTTTGAGGGAAGCCCATCAGATTGAGAAATGCAAAAATGCAGGGGCGAAGAAGGGGAGGGAATGTGGGCTAAAATTGCTCCTCATGGAGTCAGCCCTTTGCCTCCAGCAGGCACAGGCAGTGCCCAACCCCCCAAGCCCAGCACTTCCGTGCAGAGCACACAGGCATCAGCAAAAGAGGCAACGGCACCGAGAAATGACTTGCTCCAGGGCACCTTGGCAGCACCGTTCCCCAGCACTGAACACCTGCTTGTAACAGGAAGTGTTCGCCGTTCTGTTCCTTTCTGAACCACAGTCTGGGCTCACTTGCAGACAGCTTTCTCCTTCCCTGGAAGGGGCATGTGCTTTAAGTATTCCCGGTCTTCCCGCTTGTGCACAAGGTCCTCCTGAAGGCCCAAAGGGAGGGAGCATCAATGATCTTGACGTGGCCAAGCTTTTAATATTAGCAGTGGTTCACCGTACTTCTAGACTTGCTGGTGGACACACTTATCACATTGCTCTGGTCCCATGATCTGGAGAAAGAGAGGTGGCCAAATGTGCACATGATAGTAAATTGGTTGAGAACAAAGCAGACTCTGAAGAGCTTCAGAAGGAACTCACCAAACTAGGTGATTGGGCAACAAAATGGCAAATGAATTTTAATGTTGATAAATGCAAAGTAATGCAAAAAATCCCAGCTATGCATACAAAGTGATCGGGACTAATTTAACTATAACCACTCGAGAGAGATCTTGGAGCCATTGCAGATAGTTCTCTGAAAACATCCGCTCAGTGAGCAGCTGTGGTCAAAAAAGCAAACGGAAGGTTAGGAATCATTAAAAAAGATATAGAGAATAAGACCGAGATTATCTCATTGCCGCTGCATAAATCCATTGTGCACCCACATCTTGAATACCACGTACAGGTGTGGTTACCTCATCTCAAAAATGATATATTGGCATTGGATAAGGTTCAGAAAAGGGCAACAAAAATTTTCCCATGTGAAGAGTGATTAAAAAGATGGGAACTTTTTAACTTAGAAAAGAGGAGACTAAAGGGGGGTAAAGAACTAGGGGTCACCAAATGAAATTAATAGGTAGCAGGTTTAAAACAAAGTGAAGCATGTTTTCATACCTGTGGAACTACTTGCCAGAGGATGTTGTGAAGACCAGGACTTTAACAGCGTTCAAAAAATAACTATATAAATTGATGGAAAGTAGGTCCATCAATGGCTATTAGCCAGGATGGGTAGGAATGGTGTCCCTAGCCTTTGTCAGGGACTGGAAATAGATAACAAGAGAGGGATCACTTGATTCCCTGTTCTGTTAACGCCCTTTGGGGCATTTGACATTGGCCACTGTTGAAGGACAGGATACTGAGCTAGATGGACCTTTGGGCTATGTCTATAGTTGCGGCTTCTTGCGTGAGTAATATGCAAATGAGGCTCGCCCTTTGGGGCATTTGACATTGGCCACTGTTGAAGGACAGGATACTGAGCTAGATGGACCTTTGGGCTATGTCTATAGTTGCGGCTTCTTGCGTGAGTAATATGCAAATGAGGCTAAGGGTGGAATATTGCTGAGCCTCATTTGTATACCTAATGAGCCACCATTTTTTTCAGAAGAGGCTCTCGCGCAAGAAGGAGCATCTACACTGCCCCTTCTTGCTCAAGAAAAACCCTCTTGCGCAATGCCGTTCTTCCTCCTAAGAGGGTTTTTCTTGCGCAAGAAGGGGCAGTGTAGACGCTCCTCCTTGCGCAAGAGCCTCTTCTGAAAAAAATGGTGGCTCATTAGGTATGCAAATGAGGCTTGGGGATATTCCACACTTAGCCTCATTTTCATATTACTCGCGCAAGAAGCCACGAGTGTAGACATAGCCTTGGTCAGAACCAATGTGTCCATTCTTATGTTGAGAGTCGATCATGCAGGACTACAGCTGCCTCCAGCACCCCAATCTAGAGTCTGACCACTTCACAGCATTTAAACTCTGTAGCTAAACCCATTGGAGTTCACATACTCAGACTCCATTAGGGAGATTCTCCCTGGCAGCAAGAAACCAAGAGATCCTCCACTTGATCACTGCA